CGGCATATTTGCGAATAGTGCTCCGTACTCAACTCGATTTTAACCACGAGCTGTTGATTTGGTAAGCATCCATGTACGAATCGAACTCAACTTAGTTCACTTATATGTGGACGCAGCAATGCACCGCAGATGGTTATTCAGTTTGTACCAACCAATCAAATAAAGTAAAAGCAAGATATGGACAGACTGCTAGAGACAATCTTGCTTTAGGTACCTAATCAGTGCTAATAAAGGAATAATTCTTGAGACAAACCAGGCATTATTTCTTTTGACTCAAGGTACCCACTATACCTAAGGTTAGTGGGATACCTGCCACTCTTTAGACTGTAGGTACCTAGGTAGGGAAGGAAATGTCGAATTTAGCTGGGAACTTATGGAAGAGACAGTCTGCAGGTACGGATGCCAGGAGCGAAATCTCAGTGGCTAGAAGGACCGAGACAATGTAGTCTTGGTACTTGAGACCACACCTGATACACGAGCGATAGCAGGTAGACATACTTGGTGGCTGGTTGCTAGGCGCAACCCTGAGCCAATCATATCAATTCCGTCACGACAGTAGGTACCGCGCGCTTGGCCAATCCGTCACCACCAAACATTCAAAGCCTGTTTCACGCAAGCACGCCCATAACGTTCACTGCACCTTCTACTACCTACAGCATCCCCTAGGGTCAGGCTGAGTTTGCAACCCGTTCAATACCATGAGCAACTCATATCGAAGTCGTATTAGCTGGTAGCAGGGAAATTTCTTCTCTTTCTTCGTCCCTTCTATACTTTTGAGCTTCCTTCAGTTCCATCTTCATCAACAATTCTCGCTGTCTCGCTCGCTCGCTAGGACCCACCGTTCCCGTTCACGAAAGGTTGCTCGCCTTTAACGACTCCATACTTGTGACGACCTCTTGCTCCTTTCCTAGGCCGCGACATAACAAAGGCTACCTTAGATCGACAGAATTGCCTTGCGTTTCGCATCTCTTTGTTGTTTTCTTGATCATTAATTCGTTTCACGACGCTGGTACCCACTACGACTGCCCAGCGACTGACCCACGACTGCTTTGTTTTCTTTCGATTTTGGCTGGTCCCCGCCACTCACGCGAACGGCTTAGCACGAGAATAAACAACTGCTTGGTTCAGAAGACCATTGTTGGTCGCCGACTGAAGGGTCTATTCCCATTGAATCATTTTATTCCGATCTTGTCCATCGATTATCTCATGGCCAGAACACATCGTTAGGCAACTCCGTCAGCGCCATCACCGTCCGAAACCCCGAGCATCCTTCTAAAACCTCATCACTGGACAGCAACATTTAGTATGGCGCCCACTCCGGCAGTCACCAGTGGCCTTTTAAGACAAACGATATACTATCATCTTGATAATGCCTCCTACCACAACGGCCTGTTCTTCGCCGAACGCTTGCTGGCGCAGGATCCCAGATCTAACGAGTCTACATACCTCTATGCTCTATGCCACTTGCGACTCGGCGACTTTCGCTCAGCCTACGACGTTGGCAAGCCCATAGGATACCGTGGCGTGCATCTGGGGTGTGCTTGGGTTTTTGCTCAAGCATGCTTGGCCCTTGAACGATTTAAGGATGGCATCTCCGCCTTGGAGAAAGCCCGAAGTCTCTGGGCATCGAAATGCAGCTTAGGGAAGCATAGCGCAACCACCAGAACCGCTCTTCCTGATGCGCCTGCAGTTCTTTGTCTTCTAGGACGACTCCATCGCGCATATGACGACAAGAAGAAGGCCGTCTCCTGTTTCGAAGAGGCTCTTCAGCTGAATCCTTTCATGTGGGATGCTTTCGAAGCGCTATGCGACCTTGGCGTTACCGTCCGTGTGCCCAACGTTTTCAAGACCAGCGATACGCTAGTACATGGCTTCGATGTGGAAACAAGCCCTTTGATATCAAGAGAAGGATCTGTACCAATCGTTACAGATATCCCCATGAAGAAGTCCCAACGGAATGCTACAATGGATGTTGCAAGCGATCCCTTCAGCTCCAGTCATTCCCCAACAATCCATGAGCTTACTAACGGCGACTCTGGCCAGGAAGTCGATAAGAGCGAATTTATGCAGAAGATCCAAGAGGGACGCATGCGCTATGCGACATCGACTAACAGCAGCTCTGGTTTTGACGGCATGGAGACGCCTCCAGGTACGATATCTTCGGTTACGACATCATCTCGCATTGGCCATTCCCATGAGCCTCCTCAGGCTCCACCTCGAAGGACGCGGCATGCCCAAGCTATCGACCAGGCGCAGGAGGCACCCCCACGAATGAATTATCGCATAGGATCTCGACGCACAAGGGCTCAAGACAAGGGGCTACCAGAACAATCTACAGAAAATGTGATGACTGACGCGTCTAACGCCGCACCCTCAGCATCATTGCGATCGTCTATACCGGCGGCGGAAAGAAAACGGACTATATCGGGGCACCCAGCACAGCGAACGGCAAACTCAGAAGAGCCAGCGACGACTCGACGTAGTGCAAGGCTCAACATGTTTAGACCATCGTCCAAAGCAAACTCGGGGGCGGCTGGGATGGGCACTGCGGCTGTCAGGGAGCTGAAGAAGGCTCGGCCCCCAATTTCTCGGATTGTTCGACCTGGATCAAGTGGCTCTAGTGTTGGCCGTGTGGTTAGTGGTAATCGCAAACCTCTCGAAGAGGCACAAGCCGACATGGATCACAGCGAGCTACCGAAAGCCAAGGAGATCCCCCCTCCACCGCCGGTGCACAAGACATCAGAGCTTGATGCTCAGAAGATCGAAGAAGGACTTAGATGGCTGCTCGACCTTGTCATGAAGCTAGCAAACGGATACTACTCATTATCCCAGTTCCAATGTACCGAGAGCCTTCAGCATTTTCAATCGCTTCCGATGTCTCACCAAAACACACCGTGGGTTTTGGCACAGATGGGTCGAGCTCACTTTGAGCAAGCTTCATATGCCGAGTCTGAGAAGTTCTTCAGGAAGATGCGTGTGCAAGCACCTTCAAGACTCGAGGATATGGAGGTATACTCTACAGTTCTCTGGCATCTAAGAAGGGAGACGGACCTTTCTTTTCTGGCACATGAGTTGGTGGATTCCGCATGGCTTTCACCACAGGCTTGGTGTGCGTTGGGGAATGCTTGGTCATTGGCACGCGACCATGAACAAGCACTCAAGTGTTTCAAGCGAGCTACTCAACTAGATCCCAAATTCGCTTATGCTTTCACCTTGCAAGGACACGAGCACGTTACCAACGAAGAATATGATAAGGCACTGACGGCATATCGTCAAGCAATATCAGCCGACCGACGCCATTACAATGCCTACTATGGCATAGGAAGGGTCCAGGAACGTCTCGGCGCTTACGATAAGGCGTACACGCACTTCCATGCAGCTCAGAGCATCAACCCCAACAATGCAGTGCTGATAACTTGCATTGGAACAGTGCTAGAGAAGCAGAAACAAATAATGCCTGCTCTGCAAGCTTATAGCAAAGCAGTTGACCTCGCACCTCGTGCAGCCCAAACTCGATACAAGAAGGCCAGAGCACTGCTTGCTGTTGGCCAATTAGATGCGGCGCAAAAAGAGCTGATGATACTCAAGGACCTGGCGCCAGATGAGGCCACAGTTCACTTCCTCCTCGGCAAACTGTATAGAAGCATGGGCGAAAAGCAGCTCTCAGTGCGTCACTTTACTATTGCCCTTGCCCTGGACCCCAAGGTAAGCTAGTAGAATACCAGAACTATGTGCTGTTATGTTACATTCATACTGACAACTAAACAGGCAAGTCAACAAATCAAAGAAGCGATTGAGAGTTTCGAGGACGACGTGGAGATGGACGACTCGATGATGTGATGATTGTAATGAACATTGCGATATTAACGAGTCTGCACTTGCGTTTGGTAGCCTTGGTTTTTGGGACAATCGGCATAATGAAGTATATGGGATGTGGTGGCACTGATTCGTATTGCGAGGGTCGAATATATGGGATGAGGACCGGCGGTCGGCGCTACTGTTGACTTTGTTACGAGAGCATGGGCATGGCACCGGCGTTTTCTGGTATGAATAGGCTTCTTAAGCGGCCTGACTTGCGCGTGCTGTGCAAATGGAGAAAGCGACTTTGCTTTTATGTATATGTACCATGGGCAGCATACATTCACGCGTTGAGGTACCTGTACATTACGAGAATAGGCATTCAGAGAGGCGGCGAGTTGATGGATAGATACCCTGACAATCAGAGTAAAAAAGGTTGAGCCCATTGTTGTTGCGAAATCGCGTCTCGATAGACTTGTTGTGTCGTGATGAGGCTACCTGAATAGTACAGGTTGGTATAAAAGCTACTAGGTACCCACTAACTTTATGCAACAAGAGCTTCAACTGTAAAACGATGTCGAAGTGAATACTGTTTTTTCAGTAGATGTATCTGCATGCCCAAGGCATTCCAACATTACATTATTTGAGCAGTTTCAAGAAAAAGAGTCAACTTGACTCGAGCGCTTTTTTTTTTTTTTTTTTCCCCCTAAAATCAGCTGAGCTACCTGATGAGAATGGAAGAGCAACAGTGGCGCAACTCAATGCACTTTGTCCTCAAAGAACCGGTCGCCGACCCACTCCCCCAAGTCCCCCTCCAGCTCCAAATTCTGGCTGCAGCTGGACCTGCCTGGCACGACGGGAGTGATCTGAGTTATCAGCCAATCAAAAAATCGAACCACAACATCTCTCACGCGGATATCCGAAAGCGGTAAAGCGCTTCAATTATAGCGAATTTGGTGCCCATTTTTTCACTGATTCTGCCCGCATTTTAGCAGTGATTTCTGGCGCCTACAGTTGTTGTTTTTTACTGATTGCCTACACGTATTTATTCCTCCCCTTCTCGCCCCTCCCCGCGGTGTTTTTTTTTCCTTTCACTCTTCCCACTCCGCATCTTCAACGCGTCTCAACGTCATTTACAACATCGCGACAACGCGTCACTTTCATCTCTTTTCATCAAGACTTTATCTCCTTCATCTATCATCATGACTGGACGTAAGTACTTTCTCTTGTCTTTGATGCATTCCTCAGCTTCGATGCTTGGTCGTCGGTGCTGACCATGCTGACGCGTTGATGAACTGCATTCAACACCAAGCTTCGATCATCAACAAGTACTGACGCTTCATGTTAGGTGGCAAGGGCGGCAAGGGTCTCGGCAAGGGTGGTGCCAAGCGTCACCGAAAGATTTTGCGAGACAACATTCAAGGAATCACCAAGCCCGCCATCCGACGTCTCGCTCGTCGCGGCGGTGTCAAGCGTATTTCTGCTAGTAAGTTAACCTGAATGCATTTCTACATTATGAACATGCTAACATTGTGCCTTAGTGATCTACGAGGAGACCCGTGGTGTTCTCAAGACCTTCCTCGAGGGTGTCATTCGTGATGCTGTCACCTACACTGAGCATGCCAAGCGCAAGACCGTTACTTCCCTTGACGTCGTCTATGCTCTCAAGCGACAGGGACGTACCCTCTACGGTTTCGGTGGTTAAACGGTTCTCTGCCTTGCTTAATGGCTCGCTCTTGAGAAGGATTATTCAGTTGCGCCAATACGGCACTGGGATGGATGTATTTGACTAAGGCGTTGGGGAAACGGATATGATATTACCATAGGCGTCATGGAAGACGACCTTGCAAATGAATACCACATTGAACATTGATCACTTCATAATTCTCCATCACTCCAGACGTCTATACTCATCGTGATTTATGAAATGGCCACAACGTTACGGCTAGTTTAACATAGAGAACTCAGACACCTGTATCAAGAGATGACACAGATTTAATGCATTGTATTAAGTTGCAAACATGGTATCATAAGAACGCGAAGCTTTCCTGTCAACATTCAAAGGTATTTCCTCCCAGCAGCCGCTACCCTCGTTCTGAAAACCGGGCTACGCACCTCCATGTTGGCGCGGTAGAAGGGACTCATGATAGCCTTGACCCAGTTCTCATAAACTTCCGTAAAGAACATTTTGATGGCTTCTTCGGTAGCTGGACTTGTGGGATTAGCCCCGATGGCAGTTGATGACCGTGATGATGTTCCTGTCGGGATGATGGGTTGATGGAGCAGGAGAAATTTGACGTTGCCGGCGGTGACGAAGCATGATATGTAGTTGTTAAAGAACTTGTCAATACACTTGAGATACCTGCAGAAGAACCAGAGTTTAGTATCATGTCGCGTCGTGTCCTTTGTCTGTGAGTCGGCCGTGGGCTACCCCTTGCCTGCTCCAAAGCCACCGTCGGGCATAACTCACATCTGTCCATGTGACCACTGGACCTCCTCTGCAATATCAAGACTCGAATGTAAGATGAACTGGTTCAAGTGACGGACTTGATCGCTGAAGCGCGACTGGCCGTCACCGCCCTGTTTAGAGGTGCCAAACTCATGCTCGAATAGAGGGTTGTCCTGAGTGCCGACAATGGCGAAGTAGTAACTCATGGTGCTGTGTGTTGCGTCCGCCGCGCTCCAGCAATATCCTTTGGTTTCGCTGAATGGTGGCGATTCATTCGAAGGCGCCGTGTTAATGCTGTCGATACTGTCGCATACCCTTCTTATAAAATGAACTGGATGAATGAATCGACGTCTGCATTGCTCTGGGCTGTTTAGGTCGGTAGTCTAAGCCAGCTAAATGGAAGCTTCCCCACTGGATGGATACCTTACCACCCCCACTGAGACGCCGCCCACTGTATCCGGCCCTCGCAATGTTCCGCTAAGCTTCTCCGCCTAGGTAGGTAGGTATGCAGCCAACAGCCTTCCTGCGCTAAGCGTCTGCGCGGCTCAACAGCCGCCGGCTACCGGGAAAAAGTTGACGGTCATTCGACAATAACCAAAAGACTCCTCTGATTGTATCTCCTTACCGCAACGCTATTCGACAATGTTCGGCGCATTCCGCATCACGAATCCTCTCTCAGGTGGCCTTCTTTGGAAAATCCCCTGGCGGTTGTCCAAGTTCCAGAAACGCCGCCATCGACTTCGCCTGCGAGCCGTCGACAATGTTGTAGCGACTGTCGATGCAGCTCTCGCCAAGAAAGGACAGACCCTCGAAGCTCTTGAGCGATGGAAGGCTGAGATGCCCACCGAGGCCGAGATGCTACCAAAGGACAAATATACCATGTTCGATCGCAAGGCCAAGCGTTACCGCAAGGGCATTCACAGTATGCCACTCTGCTTAGATTACCCAATTGCCCAGATTTCAATGTTGACAATTGCACAGAACTGCCCAAGTGGACAAGGGTTTCCCAGCGAATCAACCCTCCTGGCTACTAAAAAGTCGATTTTGCAGAATTGGAAGCAGGACAATCGAGTTGAGGATCTAACGGAGAACGGCGTATTCATCCCATGGCGGGAATTGCAGGCAGATCCGCATTGGGATCTATGTACAACACCAATGTTTCACCTACGAACTTGAGAGGCAATGTGACGACCGCATTTCCCGATATGATACAAAACAAACGGCTTGGGAGACGGTATTAAATGCTGGTGAAGGAGCAGACCGGTGGTATGCGTTGGGATAGAAGATGAGGAAAGAAATACCATATATGCACATAGAAGAGGGAATGCAGTTATTGTCCCAAATATCGAAGGCTCTGTGTCTGAAAATCTAAGGGTATCGAGTCCAAATCGGCTGTCAAGGACAACCGCCGCTTCCCTACTGTCCAATTACTTCCCCTCGGCGTACTCGTCTCGCTCTTCGGCTTGTATCGCCCTGCCAACACCTCCCCTGCCCTCATCGAAGTCCTCACGGTACTCGTCGCGAACTTGACCACCAGATTTGCCACGGCCAAATTGACGTCCCTCTTCAAAGCCGGGATCCAGGTCGGTACGGATGACGCGCTCGTCGAGCTTGGTGCCGCCAATGTATTTTAGGCAGTCCAGGGCGTCCTGGTGTGTGTAGTACTCAACAAAGCAGAAACCGCAAGGCGTTTTGTTGAAGCGGTCGAGACCCATGATAAGGCGTTTGATCTCGCCGCACTTTGCGAAAAGTTCATAGACCTGCTCTTCGGTTGTGTAGAAGGATCTGTTGGTGCGATGAAAGTCAGCCTTATGCGATTGATCGCTATGGCGTTACAAGCATTGTAGCGAGGGAAACATACAGGTTGCCGACGTAGAGGGTTGTGGCATTGGCTAGAGGGTCAGCCTGGGGCTCTGAAGGCTGGTCCTGGTCGTCATCGCGATCGCGTCTCCTCTTGTTCTAGCACGGTGTTAATAAGTGGCTCGAAAAGCGTGGGCAGATATCATACGCGGTTCTGGTAGTAGGCGCTCGGCCTGTCGAGGCGCTCTACAGTGTTTCTGACGCCTGGTCGCATCGTCTTGTGACCTTCACTTATCGCGGATTTCGAAGATGAACCGGCAAGGTCTCAGATTTATCAGAATGGGTAATTGTGCGCGATGAGGTATGGTAGATGTTTCTTGAGCTTCAATAGTTGAGATGATGGATGTTGGTGTAACAAGAGCAGCCTTGCCTTGGAGAGTGGGCCCTGCAGACAGGTGTGGCGGTGCGTGTGGCATTCACTTATACCCTGCCTCTTGATGCTGTAGTAACAAGCGCTAAAGCTTTGAGTGACGGATCGTCCGCCAGCCCCAGGCCTTCAGCCTCGTTATTTTTCTTCCCAAACATTCAAAGATCGCGACTTGCGCTCAGCTACAATTACTCTGAGCAGCTCATATAGCTCGCATTCTCACCTCATCAGCTTCGCGAAACTTTGCAAACATCTTTGCAGACGGAGCTTGGCACTGTCCTCTCGCCATGCCTAAGGTCAAGAGCTATTCGGCAGCTTGGCTGTCCAGCAACGCTCTCGGCCATCGTCTGTTTGAGCCATCATCTGAGGCGTCCAAGTCTCGTAGTCTTGAGTCAGCATATTCTTCCAAGAAGAAAACTATTCCTGGTCCGCGACGAACCATTGCTCATCGAGGAACTGAAGTATTTGCTGCTGTTGGTCGCGAAATCCGTTGGGGTGATCTTGCGTACTTGAAGGATGAATGGACAAATCGTTATCCAAAGAGAGGATCATCGCAGGGCATTCGCATCAAGCGCGAGGACTCCACACAGCCATTCGATAATGAGAGCCTAGAGAACGCTGCTGGATTAAGGGTATGTTCGAGCATCATGACTTATAAATCGGTAGCTAACCTGCCACTCCGCAGACAATCAAGACTCCCGTTGCCGACGACATTCGACAGCTGATAATGTCCCCGAACTCGAACTTTTTGGCCATTCTCACCACACATACTGTCCATATCTGCGTGCTCCCTGACCCCTCACACCTTACCAGTGAAGATGCTGGCCCTCTTAAACCAAAGATCTTCACGCTTGGTCCAACCACTCACGTTACCTCTCGATCTCCTATCGTATCAGCCCTCTGGCATCCTTTGGGTGTCAGTGGCTCTTGTATCGTTACGACTACCGCGGATGCCATCGTACGTGTATGGGAATTGTCTACCACTGATCGATGGTCCTTCGACTCACCTACGACGTCTGTCGATCTGAAGAAACTGGTGGACGGTACCACTCTGGATCAGGACTTTTCTGCCTCAACAGCAGCCACCAATACGGCATTCTCACCTGATTCGTTCGAAATGGAGGTGGCTGCTGCCAGTTTCTCTACTAAAGGGGCTGGCGGTTGGAACCCAATGACGTTGTGGGTGGCCATGCGAGAAGGAGATGTGTACGCCTTGTGTCCTTTGCTTCCTCAGAAATGGGCGCCTCCCCCAACACTAATCCCTTCTCTGTCGGTATCGATCGTCACTACTGTTGCAAGTATCGAGGATGATCCGGATGTTGGAGAGCAGGAAAAGTTACTTGCCCAACAGCAATTAGAATGGATGGGAGAGCTAGATTCTCAAGAGCCAACAATCATGGAGGGGCCGATTGGCGAGCCTATGATGGAGATTTATACGCGACCAACTCGACCGGGAATCATTCCTCGCCTGCAAGGCCCTTTTGAACTTCAGTCAGATCCTGACACAGGTGATGAGCTGGATACGTCGGTTACTGATATGCTCGTCATCGGCAAGAAGACAGAAACGGAGCAGCTTATGACGGGCGAAGAAGAAGATTTGGATATGGATGACGGGGATCAGGAAGGCCTGTCTCTAACTGTGCTCTGCCTCGTGTCAACGAGCGGCCAAGTTCGCGTATATCTTGATCTCGAGGGTGTCCAGGCCCAATGGCTGCCACCCAAGAACAAGAATAAACTTGGCCGGCTGCTCGCCGAAGCTGAAACCCCGTCTCTACTTTCCTTCCAGGCCATTGATACCATGACACCCGTGGAAGTGAATGAGGATAGCTGGCCAGTTTTCAGCAACGACGTCACATCTCGCTACAACTTCTTTGTCACACACCATGCTGCGATCACATTTATTTCTCTCACTTCCTGGATCTTTCGTCTAGAGAGTGAGCTGAATGGAGATTCCGAAGCAGGAACTGACTTTAGAATTGGCCTGCTTGTCAACTCTCAGTCTACAAGGGATCGCATCTACTCGCAACCCACTGCAGATATTGCGGTGCCCTTAGCTGCATGCAATGTTCTGCGAGACCCTGATGTTGGCTACTTTCTCCTCTCAGCGACTCCCTACGAGCCCATCGCCCTGACCTTCGACACACCAGAAGTCGACCTTGCTCCGATTCGTCAAGAAAGCCCCAGCTATGAACGGGAAGCTAGTATGGCGCCCCTGGACTTTTATGAGCCTCGCCCCGTGTTCAACCCGTCTCATACATTTGATGAGGGTTCTGCTCTGCCTACACTGCTTGAGAGGCTCCGCACGTCCCGTCACAAGACGGTCGTCAACCAGGAAGTAAGATTAAGCCCGCTTACGTTGCAAATCTTTACCGATGCGCATAAGGTCTTGGCAGACGAGACGCATCGCCTTGGAATGGCTGCGGCTGAGGTATTCCGGCGATGTGAACTTCTTCAGAGTGAGCTTAAGCAACAAGTCATGAAGGCGAACGAGGTAAAGGGTAAGATCGACACAATTAACGGGTCGCACCGTGATGGAGAGGCGGATAATGCCATGTACGATCGGCGAGTTACTGCAGCAAGGGACCGCCAGGAGCGGCTGACTGGGCGCCTTGAAAACCTACGCAAGATTGTAGGTAAGGCGACCACGCGTGACTTAAGTGCCAAGGAACGTGCCTTTGTTGAGGAAGTGAAGTCCATGGAAGCCAGCGTCTCGGCTCCGGATTACGCGGAGCTGGCATCAGGCAAATCCAAGGCGACACCGGCACAGGCTAAGCAGTTGTGGAAACGTCTGGAAGACATTAAGCACCTGCAGGCTGACCTTACTGCCGAAGTGGAGGCAATGAACAAGGCGACAGGGGAGACGGATGGGCCCGCCACACCTTCGGCCGAGTTACGGATCCCACAAGAGGTTCGCCGGGCGAAGTTGCAGCAGGTCCAAGGACTTCTATCGAGAGAAACAGCCTTGGTGGATGCTGTCACTGCACGACTGGAACGGCTGCAAACCAGTGTCTGAAACTGATATATATGTACGATACCTACGACTCTGCAGAGTATAATAAGAAGAAGTGCTTCCGTTGGATTATCTATCCATTCCCTTATTCCTTGACAATACTCTCCAGGACAAGCATTCCTTGCAATGCGAGGCAAGTGAAGTAGTCAAAGCTAAGACTGTGTCTCATTGGCATCTCTACACATTGAAGCCAGCCGAGAGGGGCAATTCGAAGTTAAGGCAGAGATCGTCATAGCAACAATTGCATATACACGACTCTGTCGAGCAGATATCCTGGATACCGAGACAACTCGACCAAAAGCAAAAACGATTGACAAAGGAAACAAGGTCTTTGGCATCCCTATCTATAACTCCGCGGCAACACAATTGGGCTGACAAGCCCTCCTTTCCTTTTTTTTATCATCAGCGAAATATATTGCTTTGTTGAGTAAGTTGAGTTAAGTAAGACAGGCTGGTTCGTTGTGGACCAATCATTCTCACGAGGCGAATGGCAGCCATGAAACAATCAACTTGGCCGAGCTTTCTTGTGCCTATGGACATGGTGATTGTGTGTTTGGTTTATCGAGCGTTTGCTAATTGTTTTTTCTCTCTCTTTCTAGTTTGTGCATGATTTGCTAGAATAGAAGCGAGAACAAAGCTCGGAAACCAAGAAAGAAGAAGGTTATTTGGTTTTGGTTTTGTGGTTGTGTGACAAGCTGAAGGACAGACACACACACACACACACGACACAACACAACAAGGCAGAAACTTGAGGACGGCTGGGTGCTTACCACACACGAACAATACAGGGAGATCCTTGAGTATCTACTGGCCCAAAGGGATTGCCTTGAATGCAACCTGCAGGCTTTCGGAATGCATAGTGTCCGTTCCTAGTATCAGCCATTGGCCATTAGCCCTTGGAACAATGCCTGTTTTGGTTTCTCACGGATAGCCACGATATTCCACGACGTGTCTTCTCATGAGGTTCTACCAAGGCGCTTCGTGGTATCACGATTACGAATTGTCTGCTGTTGGGCTCTACCAGACTTACACGGCATGAATCACGAGAAATGGCCTCGGTAACGGGAATCAAAGTCAGGGCATCGCGGCCTTTGCGCGACGTTTGTTTTGCAAGCCATTGTGCCCTATACTGCTCGGCTATACATACCTCCCAAAAACGGGGATAGACATGACTGGCCGCCTTATTCCATATGGGGGCGTCATCTATCGGCTTGCTAGAAACACATTCCCTGCAGGCTCTTGTTTGGGTGTGAGGTATTTGGTACACAAAGATGCTTTTGACACTGGGCGTTCCACACCACAGCCACCGGATTTGTTCCTACATAAAGGTATTGGATTGCACTTCCACTTCCGATCTTACAAAGTTCAACTCCAACACGCCATCCCATCTGTTCAGCACATTGAGCAGTCCTCTACCAAGCCCTCTCTTCATCAATGACCTTGTTGCGTCGAGCCTGTCAGGATCCAGCACTTCCACCTCAGTCAGATATGGCACATCATCCTATGGATTACAAGGGTCTCGTTCAGCGTGAGTCTGAACCCTAACTCAGCTGTGGCTGATTGATTTCTGAATACGTTACTGACTTGACCGGACTAAAGAGAACTGCCGCATGTCCGCCGAAAGCTCAGATGCTGACTTCCAAGTCCTGACTCGGATCGACCTAAGTCGTCAGTGGCACGCTTTCGTTCTCAAGACAGAAGGCGGGAAACGCATCAAATATCTTGAGGAGAAGGCCCCTCGACTTGAGCGTGCGCTCGAACTGCTTCACGAGGCCTCGGCTCGTTTGGTAGATCAGTATGTGACTTGTCACGGCTACGATCTTCCTCCTGGTACTGCCAAGAGCTCATCTGGTATGCGTGGTGGTTCAGTGAAACCAGATGTCATTGCTTGTAGTTCCTCTGACAGTGAAGCCTTCGCCTCGGACTCTGACGATTCTGCACTTCCTCCCCGTCGCTCCCACCGAGGAAGCCATCGCAGTGGCCGAGCAGAGGGCGAGGCAACCAACACACGACCAGGCCGAGCAGAGGCAGATTCAGGTAGCGAGAGTGATGAGCCTACTAGCCGCCGTACCCCTTTTTGGGTATCTCCTCCTCGTCCAACAGGAATGCCACCTCACGGTCATCCTCCCCCCCCTCAACCATGGGGTTATTCGATGCTACAGGCACCAGCACCAGCACCAGCACCAGCACCAATCTCTGCCCCTATTCCCGGCATCCGACCAGGCCACTCGATGGTTCCTCCGCCACCAGGTAGAAAGATTCCTATTCCTATTCCGCCCATGGTTGGCAAGTCGTATCCTGCACGTCTCAACATTACCTGGGCAGGCAATGGAAAGAGGAACATGCTTGTGAACGTCTCACCAACTGTCCACTACCTGCAGCAAGTAGCAGTCAACGAGGCAAACATGCGCCCTACCGGGTTTGTCAACTCGTCTTCCGCGCCGTACCTCCCTCTGCCGAATCATTCTAGCAATGGTCACGCTCTTCTCAGAGCCATGGTACGCCGTGTCACGCTGGACGAGGACGAAACTTATGAGATTGCGGCTTTTGGAAATGACTTGTCTGCCCTGTTCCGCAGTAGTTCGAGCATCCCCAAGTTCGAAATTGAAATCATCAACGCCAACGTTGTCCCCATATTCCCCCCCATGCCTCCTCCGCGTCCTGCCTCGGTTGCCTCCTCGCGAAGCAGCGTCGAAATAGCGGGTTAGAACATGAAGTTACTTTGCACCACCCACAAAGCACTGAGGACAGTGCCACACAGTCTTTTCAGAGGGTAATCGTGTATCAGTGAGCATACGGCTGAGGCGAAACGGGTTGCATAGGCGTGTTAAACTAGGGTACTGAGACGGGGGTTTTGGATGACAAGAAGTGTCTGGCATTTAACAGACTGTGCACATTGGGTCACTGGCGCGTTGCTGAGCTAGGGAGATTTTATTTCTTAGCCATTCTTCACTAAACTTGTCAGCACTAGGTAGAATGGTACTTTATCAATAGAGTTGTCGTTGTTGGACTTGACTTTACAACCATCAACGGAAACCGGAACGGTTGCACATCAGGCATCTGGCCGTCTGTGCCTGTTAGCTAGAGGAAACCTTAGTGTGCGTTCTGCAGATTCGAACCGTTACCCCTGATACTTGCACTCGTGTTACTGCAGGCCTGTGCGAATATAATGACGAGTAACATTAGAGGTCGATAATCTGACACTGCGTCTAGATCCATGCTCCTATTGGCAGGATAATTCAAGACCATGAATTGAGTGACTAAGACCTAGCTCAGCTCCCGCCTCACTTTAATAGCACATGACGGCAGCTACTTGAGCTTTACCACTGCAACGCACTATAATCGATGATCATGGCCTCATGGAGATGGCAGAATCAAAGGTAACTAATCGACGCTAGGAGGACATTCGATAAAGGAGGGAGTTGTTGAATGAGGCGGTAAAGAACGTGTGGCTGATATGCAGTCTAGTGCAGCTTCAAGCAGGGATTTGACACGGGAAACAGGGATTCTTCAAGCTAGTGAGGACGAATATCATGAATACTCTTGACCATATCACAAGATGAAAATGTGAGATATGCCACAAATTTGGGTGAAGACAAAGGGTACCGCCGCGCTGATGATGATGATGATGATGATGATGATG